TTTTCCAAGCAAGAATCTCAAATGTCCTTTTCTTATGGAAGAAAAAAAGACTGAGCCCTCTGATTATTTTTAATGCCTTGTTCTGTGTTGTTTCCAAGTCTATTTATATTTTTCAAATGTAGGAACAAGAACTATTTTTATATTACAAAGATGACATTTTGTATCAACTATTTTCCTAATAACCCCTAAAATTAAATTTGCCTTTTTCACAACTGCCACGCCCCCCAGTTTACATCTTCACTATCCACTATTCCCCAAGATCTTTTTACTGGTTTGTGAAACAGCTCAAGCCCCATCAGTGTTTGTTTGTATCTAATGACCCAATATGAATAATGTTGCATTTATTTAAATTGAACCATATTTGTCTTTTGATCATTCTTCCACCTTAAAAAGATCATAACCATTTGATTTTTGCAATACTGAGCTTAGTATCATCCATAAACTCAATAAGGTGACAGCTTATGTCTAACTCAAAATACCAATCACAATACAATTTCAACTGCATTTTAAAAAACTGAAAGATAGCTACAATCAAAATCTTGTTTGGAAGTATACTTATATTCCCAGGAAAAAATGACAACAGTAACCTGATAATTAACTACAGTTACCAGGGTAATCAATGTGTCTGATTAGTTACAATGTGCTCTCTAATGGGTCTATTGGCTCACAAAAATGTGGGACCCTTCGTTTTGCCTGATGAAGAATTCTCAGATACTCTAAAGGTGGCAGAATATTTTCTAAAAATATTGCTTCAAAATGAATTCTGGATAGATACTGTATGATACAAGCAATAAATACCACAAAAACCAAACCTGGTAGTATATGTACAAGTAAGTAAAATTTTCTGTCAATAATCAGAAAACAATGTCAGTGTATAACTAATTCTTTATTTAATCAAGTGAAAGCAGTAACAGACATCTGAACCTCAGAAATACTGAATTTAAATTGGATAATCAAGGTTCAGACCTAGCAATTACCAGCAGTTAGAGCATATGAAATGAAGCCTATGTTACTAGTATCCCTTAATCGTTCACAACCAAGAAGATAATAGGACGAATGTACCAAGATAAATCAGAAACAGGAGTTCTTTAATGACATTATTTAGAGAACCAGCCCGTTCACAGATCATCAGGGTATCTTATTGTCTTATAACAGTACTACATTACAAGCAGATGAATGTCTCCATCACTTAAAGTACAGGTAGTCTTCGACTTATCATAATTAGCACTTGAATTACCATCTCTAAAAAATGGAATTGTAAAGCAAGACGTCACATGACTGCATTGCTTAGTAACAGCAATTCTGGCATTGGCATTAAGTAAATTCCACCAGTCATTAGCGGAGACCTACTTCAAACCAAGCCTTTTGGGTCTCTCCCAGCCATGAGACTCAGTAAGGTAAGGGACTGCCTTCTCTTCAATCCCTCCCCCCCCCATCTATTCCCCCATCTCTGCCCTTTTGGCCGTCCTGCATCCTGCCTTGTGGGACAGCAAGCAGCCCCAGAGCACAAAGCTGTGTGTGTACTTGCCACATTGTGGCATAGGGGCTTCCTGGCACACTGCTGCTCTGGGGCTACAAGAAGCCCCTAAGCTGCAGCACAAAACCCAGTCTTAGTCCATCCCAGCAGTGTGAAGGGGCTTCTTGGTACACCACAGCTCTGAGGCTGCAAGAAGCCCCTGAACAACAACTTAGAATGAAGCCCTTTGCCATATGAAATCCAGTCCCAAGAGTGCAGCCAGAGCCACAGCCAGCCCAGCCCAGCCGCTCTCTACACCCTGCGCTCCATCTGACCATCTCCATCTTGTTGCTCCTGCTGTTGACTGAGTTGTGCCCAGCTTTACAAGGCAGATTCTGGCCACATGAGGCTCACTTTCCTCATGAAGAAACCACATGCATGACCTGGGGAAGAAAGTGTGTAGCCAGCACCTGCATGTTCAAGGGCTGGCATGTTTGGTCAGCAGCAGGAGCAACAAGATGGCAAAGTAGAGCTAGGATGGCAGGGACAAAAGGGCATAGATGGGGGAGATAGGTGGGTGGTAAGGAGTTGAAGCTCCCAAGGTGAATTTTGATCACAATTGCTACGATGGCTATAACTCTGGGCCATTCTTCTGGTCAGAGAATTAAGAACTGAAGGTCATTCATAGTTTATTTAATCAAGTCAATATTTTGGGTTCACACAATAGAATGAACTATAGACTACTCACATGGACACATGGGTTCAAGGAAAAAAGTAGATTAAAATATGGGTAATAAGCTATGAAAGTACTTAAGAGGCAGCACTTGCACTTTGATACCAAGATGCATACATTCTTCAGAGGCCCCTGCCCTTGCAGTTGGATAATTAAAGTATGTTTCCTGGTGCATATGAGCCATTCAATGTAGTTTCACCTATCATATAGTAACAGTGATGTAATTTGTTTCATCTAAACTTGACAAGAATACATTTTCCAAGTGTGGCTTATTCCATATAATGTGGGTTATCATAGCATGTGGGCCCATTTGCTCTTTGGTTTGCTTAATGATAATGTATTAAATAAACTATAGATGATTTACAAAGCATGTGATTGCATAAATAATACTTTAAATACAGCATGCACAATATTTTAAGTCAATTACTACCGTATAACCACAATTATTTTTAGGGTAATCAGATCTGTGCCTAAAACCATTAGACAGAGTTAGAATTTTCAAGGGGGGGGGGTTGCTCTATTAATTCTCTATTAGTTTGCAGTCCAGATCTCACACCACTAATAATAGCTTAACTTGGTGAACCGGGTTAGAGAAAAGCAACAAATAGGGTTTTTTCCTGCACAAGACAGGTATTACATGAAACAAAACTACAAGTGATGCACTATGAAAGTTTATTTAGCAGTATCTGCTATTTTTACTAATATATATACTTAATACTATTGCATGATTTCATGTTCATTATTTCAATACTTTCCAACAGTCCTAATATGGATAAAATTAGATACTATACAGATAATGCATATTGTTAAAACAAGCACTAAACATCAGATTTTGAAGCTATTAATAGGATACAACAGCTATGTTTCTTTCCTACCATGGATTCATTCAAAATCCACACAAATAAAGCAGACATATGGCAGAGAAAGAAGGGGGAGGGGGGGGAGAGAAGAGCCTGAGTAAGTGCAAATGTTTCATGAGAATAGAAGAATAAAGAATTTTGTACTTCTCTTTCCTCAACTCCATCATCCAATGCTGTTATTTTTCTACTTAGTTTGGAAAAAGCATCAGAAACTAAGAATAGCTTCTTTATTGGGTAATTGAATATATCACAGGGGTGGGCACAATGTGCATTTCTTCAAAAGTTGATAAGTATGGCAATAGTGAAAAAAACTTTTAAAAATGTAGCACACTCACATCTAGAAAACCACAAGCTATGCTCTCAAGGTATATTTGTTTTTTGTGAATGTAACTGTGATTTAATAAATTATCCAATATTCTGGATGCAACACATTTATTAACTGCACAAATTGAAAATACATGTCGACCTAATTATTGCTCACTAGTTTGTTATTCAGACTACAAACAACAGTATTCTGAAACCTGAAATAAATCAGGGTTGTAAACCTAGATTATTCAACAAACTATGGCTTAGTATGATCTATGCACACAGCTATGGGAATAATAATGTACTCTTGCACTGCCAGATTTAAAACTCTGCATCTGGCAAGTCCTTTCTTAAATGAAACATTCCTTCTTTTTTCACACCTAGCTGAAAATGGTACCTCTGACGTAATTTCTGATGTAACCGTCATCTTAATAGAAGATATCCATTTCATTCAGATTTATTATTTTATTTTCCCCATTACTTAAATCATGCAATAAATCAACTAAGGTTTCACTAATCTGGTAAGAATTTCAATTTTGTTTATTTCTGCATACCTATCCTCAAGACAATATAATTGCATGTTCATGACAACATTGAACACTAACAAGACAGGCTGAGTTCCTATAATGCAAGATATTAGTGTGTCCTGAAATGGGACTCAATTATAATTCCATCAGGAAATTTGCAGAGAAGAATATTTTTTAAAAAAATTCTGGCTCCATATTCAATTTATGGCACCAATCACTAGCCAGATTTCCAGAAAAAAAGGAATATCCAACAGGATATCATTCCTACTTGTGTATTCTATATCAAAGTAAGTCTGAGGAAGGAAGATTTAAAAAACAGTAGACACAAAATTTCCACTTCCTTTCTTTTGAAAGGAGAATTCAGCAGGTAATGGGAAAAGAGGGTGTTGGGAGATACTTGAGTCCTGTTCTGCAGGTTAGAAAAGTGCAGTTCAGTTGGACCTCGTTTCCCTAAGTCGTGAAAGACATGGGGGGCGTGTAAATTAAAAGCAACAAAAAGGGAAAATAACGAAAGGACTAAGATATCAAAGAAGAGATAACTCCAAACTTCGCTAGAAAGACTCGGAACGAAAGGAGATAGGAAATAGAAGCCTCTCTCGGCCGAGGAAATGTAAAGTGAAGCGAAACTAGAGCCCCTCAATCCCCACCTCCCAACCCCTCATCAGCGCGGGCCTTTTGAGAAGGGATGAAGCCGCTTTCTCTCGCCAGCCTCGACCCTTCCTCAAAAGCGCCCCAGTGAGGCGTCGGGTAGGAAAGGGATAAAGGACGAGTCACTTGCTCGTCAGGGGCGGGGAGGATTTCGCTTTGGCTGCGAGACCCGCTTCTCAGCCGCGCAGCCTCAACTTCTGAGGAAGTTCACCGGGAGCCGCACCAGGAGCGAAGGATCCCCGCGGAGGGGCGGGAGAGAGGAAAGGGAAAGCGCTCACCCACGCCGTATTTCTCTTCGCGCTTGGTGGGTATCCAACGCGTCATAGCTGAGGGGAGCCCGAGCCCGCCAGCCGTCGGGGAAAGCCGGGGAGGAGAGGCGGGGACTGACGCGGCGGCGCCGGCGACGCTGCTAAGCCGCCATTTTCCAGCCTCGATCGCGGCCGCCCCGGGACAAGGAGAAGAAAAAAGTTTGCAGGCAACGGAGCGGTCATGTGGGGCAGGCGGAGCCAGGGATTGGGAGGCCCTGCCTGGATAGGAAACCCAGGCGGTCGCTGCGGACGGGAAGGAGGTTCCCTCGGCGGCACCGTCACCGCCGTTAAGCATCCTTCCTCGGGCTGGCGGGGCCCGTTTCCCCTCCTCTTGAAAAGTCGCTTCCCTTCCTGAGAATGACACTTCCCGGTTCTGAAACCGCCCCGCGTTGCTTCACTTTTCCGTGCCTTTAGCCACAAGTAGCCGCGCTATCCTCTCCCAAGGGATTCATCTAAGTAAGGGCAGAGGGTCCCGGGAACCTAGGAAATAGGTTACACGGAAAATGAATCCTGTAGCCAGGAAAATAGAGGGTTCCGTTGCTTCCCCTAAAACCCTGCATGGAGAGAGTTCATGTAATGCAAGAGGCTGAGCCAGTAGAAAAAAGGAGTTGCTAGATGTGGTGTTAAGTTTTTTCAGCCAAATATCTTCAGGTGTACTTATTTTTTACAGCCTTATTATTGAAACACCTCCTCTTGTCTCTGGTTTTATGAAAAGGAAAAGCATTTTCTTCATCTGGATTTCTAATGAATACAATTCTATGGCAGACAAAGCAACCAATTTTATTAGCTCTCTTCATTATAGTGTGCTCGGTAGGTTCATCCTTTCTAATGCTGAGGATCTTTCACCGATCTCTGCATGATATAGGATGTCCAAATTGGTTACTGGTGTTAGGTCCTGGTCCTTTTCATTTTGGGCAAGGGGGTTTTGACCCGACAGTAATAGTTGCATAGGTAGTTGTTGACTTAAATTAAGCAAAAGTTACAACAGACTGAAAAAGCCCTCTTACAACCACACCAGTCCTAGCAATTATGACCATTGCAGCATCACCACAGCCACATAATCAAAATTCAGGCACTTGGCAACCAGCATGTATTTACAATAGTTGCAGGGTCCTGAAGTCATGTGATTACCATTCCCAGCTAGCCAAGTCAATGCGGGAAGCCAGATTCACTTAACAACTGAGTGATTAAACTGTGGCAAAATGGTTGGGTGTGACTCACTTAACAGCCTTGCTTAGTAACAGAAAGTCTAGTCCCAATTGTGGTCATATGTCGAGGACTATATTTCGGCTATGGAGGTAAGTGTGAAACAGGATATTTTGCAGTACTAGAATCACACAGCCTAATGGTAAATGCAGGCGTGAGGACAGAAAGAGATTTGACAGGAAAGTGTGGAAGCATTTTGGCAGAAGGCTTGGCATATTTCCAAACTTTTCATGCAAATTGATTATGCATAAATTGCATAACCTTTTTTTGCCTAAAATGATCCTTGGACAAAAATGATAAGTCACATAAAATCAATTGTTATGAAGGAACGGAAACCTGTGTTTGGTATGGCTTCATGCTTGTGTCCTATTTTCTAAATCAATTTGTGGAAAATAATGCTTATTAATTGAATTACTACCTTTTATCACATGACTTGTATCTTCTTAGTTTGGATTTCTTCTAGGGATAAAAGTTGTTATTTTCAGTTACTACAAGATTTAAACCAAACCTCGCCCAAAATGCATGAATGCCACTCCCACAGGTGTTCTATGGCAACCAGGAAACTTCCAGATGTCTATGACCAAAATAATGCATATGGAAGGCAACCGAAAGACGAAAAACAATCCTACTTTGAGATTTTAATGAAAAAATACAGCCTTTGCCATATTTAAGAAAATCAGCATGTGAATTTTCTAGATTTATAAAATATGCTAAGCCATAAATGTTTTTATAGAAACTTGTTATTATATGTTTTATTATGTGCGCCATGTGAAACATATACTATATAAATCTAGCAAATAAATATAAACTAATGTTTTGCATTCAAACAATGTGCTCAACGTACTTTCAATAGAGATGTCCAAAATAGAGTTGGGCTGCATCTGGAACACCATACATCACTTCCTATTCTGGACAATACATTTACATAAAGACAAAACCCATTCTTTGAATTCTTCATCTGGTTTGTTTAAACTAAAGTCAGAATGCTCCTGGGTTGAAATGTTCTTTGTATTTGATTAAAGTTTAATAGAATTGGATTGAGTAAAGCATGGAGATATACTGTGCATGAGTATTCTAGTGCTTGGTTTTGAATGGAGTGGCACTTTCCCATATATAACAGTGTGCAATTTTGGTTTTCCTGGGTTCACAGCTCCTACTCAAAGAAAGAAAGACTTTGCTCAGATTCATTACCAATTTTCCTGGACTGGAAATACCTTCACATGTGTTTCAATCAACTGCCACCACTCCTAGGCAGTGGTGGGATTCAGCCAGTTTGCACCTATTCGGGAGAACCGGTTGTTAACTTTCTAAGCAGTTCAGAGAACTGGTTGTTGAAAGAAATCTTATTTTGTTTTTTTCCACTTTACAGGGCTAATCCTGTAAGGAAGGCAGAAAGGAAACATTCTGGTGTCTTTTCTAGCCTAATCTTTATTGCCCTGCTTACAGAAACTGCCTCTCTGGTTAACCCTTATTACACTGTAACAGCTAAGGCGAAGCGCCATCGAACATGAGTGACGTCCCCCTCGTAGAAATGTACCCACCGGATTTCCCGCATTTCATCAGCCGAGGGCCCAGGGTAGGGGTGGGGGGATGGCGGTTATTGTAAAGGAAGGTCTTGATCCTAGGGTGGCCACTGTACCTCAGATAGCCGGTTGTGAGTCTCCTTGTGAAGTGGGGCCATGGGAGGCAGATGGGCCTGCTGATTGCATACCTTGCTCCTTGCTGCATGGCAGCGGCCCTGCCCGAGCTCCTCAACGTTATAGCCGGGGTGGCGGTTGATACCCCCAGGCTTTTAGTCATGGGGGATTTCCACCTGCCGTCCATCGGTGAAAGGTCTGAGGTGGCTCGGGAGTTCATGGCTTCCATGACGGCCATGGACCTGACCCAGTTAATTCAGGTCCACACTCACACAGGAGGAAACACGCTGGACTTGGTTTTCGTCTCTGGTCAGTGGTTGAATGACCTAGATACAGGGGATATAGTTATTGAACCCTTGTCATGGTCAGACCATTCCCTCCTTAGACTTGACTTTCTGACCGCTACACCCCACCGCAGGGAGGCGGAACCGATTAGATGGTTCTGCCCCAGGCGCCTGATGGATCCTGATAGGTTCCAAATGGAGCTTGGGCCATTTCCTGAGACTCTGGCTCACGACTTAACGGAAGACCTGGTGGCCGCCTGGGATAGGGCGGCCGCTGGTGCTTTAGATCGGGTCGTGCCTTTGCAGCCTCTGATCTGGCGCTGAATCTGCCCAGTTCCTTGGTTCTCCGAGGAGCTGAGGGAGATGAAGCACCGGAAAAGATGCCTAGAGAGTAGTTGGAGGGCTAGTCGTTCCGAATCTGACCGTACACTAGTGAGGTCTTATATCAAGACCTACTTAGTGGCAATAAAAGTGGCAAAGTGTAAGTACTTTTCCGCTCTTATTGCGTCGGCAGATAATCGCCCAGCCGCCTTGTTTAGGGTGCTCCCTTCTCCATCTGGGAGCGCGGGAAGACCCCTTGCAAGGGCGTGCTGAAGATTTTGCGCATTATCTGCACGATAAAGTCACTCAAATTCGGGAAGGCTTGGACTCTGACTAGGTGGGTTCAGGCAGGTTGTCCGAGGTGTGTCTTGAGAATGTTATCTGGGATGAGCTCGACCCTGTGACCCCCGAGGACATGGACAGGATGCTGGGGAGGTTGAAAGCAACCTGGGAGGTTACACGAGGCTGGCTCCAGAGGATTATAAACGCTTCCTTGAGTGAGGGTTTCTTGCCTCCCGCCTTGAAAGAGGCCTCGGTGATGAGGTCCCTCCTCAAGAAGCCCTCTCTGGACCCAGCTGTTTTGGCAAACTATCGTCCAGTTTCCAACCTTCGCTTTTTGGTGGCGCGACAGCTCCCGCAGTACCTGGATGAAACCGTCTATCTAGATCCGTTCTAGTCCAGCTTCAGCACGGAAACGGCATTGATCGCGTTGGTTGATGATCTCTGGAGGGCTCGGGACAAGGGTTGCTCCTCTGTTCTGGTCCTATTAGACCTCTCAGCGGCTTTTGATACCATTGACCATGGTATCATGCTGCACCGGCTGGAGGGGTTGGGAATGGGAGGCACTGTTTTACGGTGGTTCTACTCCTATCTCTCCGACGGTCGCAGTCCATGTTGGCTGGGGGGCAGAGGTCAACCTCAAGGCACCTGGTTTGTGGGGTGCCGCAAGGATCAGTCCTCTCGTCTCTCCTGTTCAACATTTATGTGAAGCTGCTGGGTGAGATCATCCGTGGTTTTGGGGTGCAGTGCCATCTGTACGCTGATGACACTCAGCTGTACATCTCCACCCCCGACTACCCCAATGATGCCCTTGAAGTGATGTCCCGGTGCCTGGAGGCCGTGCGGGTCTGGATGGGGAGGAACAGGTTCCGACTCAACCCCTCCAAGACTGAGTGGCTGTGGTTGCCGGCGTCCCGATATAGCCAGCTGGTGCCATCACTGGCTATTGGGGGCAAGACATTGGCCCCCACGGAGAGGGCGCATAACTTGGGTGTCCTCCTGGATGCATGGCTGTCTTTAGAAGAGCATATGACGACTGTGGCCAGGGGGGCTTTCTATCAGGTTCGCCTGATACGCCAGTTGCGCCCCTTTCTGGATCGGGACTCCTTATGCACGGTCACTCATGCCCTTGTCACTTCCTGCCTGGACTATTGCAATGCTCTCTACATGGGGCTCTCCTTGAGGAGCACCCGGAGGCTCCAGCTGGTGCAGAATGCAGCCGCGCGGGTACTTATGAGGGCGACATGGCGCTCCCACGTAACACCTCTCCTGCGTGAGCTGCATTGGCTTCCGATGGTCTTCCGGGTGCGCTTCAAGGTATTGGTTCTCATTTTCAAAGCGCTCCATAGCTTAGGGCCCAGTTATTTACGAGACCACCTTCTGCCACCGATAACCTCCCACCAGCCAATACGCTCCCACAGAGAGGGTCTCCTCAGGGTGCTGGCGGTCAGGCAATGTCAGCTGGCGACCCACAGGGGAAGAGCCTTCTCTGTGGGGGCACCCGCCTTCTGGAATGAGCTACCCCCAGGGATACGACTGATCCCGGACCTCCGGACTTTTCGCCGGGCTCTGAAGACTTTTTTATTTCAGCAAGCCGGGCTGGCTTAAAATTTTTAATTGGTTAATTTTATGGGTTAAATTGGGGGAAGCCAATATAGATTTAATTATGTTTTAAAGTATTTTAATGTTTATATTGTATGTTTTTAATCCTGGCTGTTCACTGCCCCGAGTCCTTCAGGAGAGGGGCAGTATAAAAATTTAATAAATGAAATGAAATGAATAGGCCACACCTACATGGTCACATGACCACCAAGCCACGCCTACCAGCTGGTCATTAGGGCAGAGAATCGGTTGTTAAATTATTTGAATCCCACCACTGCTCCTAGGCCTCTACTTTCATCCATTGACTTGCCACTGCCATTAATGAAATGTCACATCAGGCCCCACACCATGGCCCTCCATGCTAGCATCATTCCATAAAGCCCCATTTGTGCCACTTCTCTATGTTCCATAATATCTTTCAGAACACACTTGCCTTTTTCTCCAGATGCTGACAGTTGCACCCAGCCTGTGTGAGGCAGCTGCTGGCTGTGCCAAGCCTTCTTACCAAGGACATTTTGAGCCAATCTCCAAGCTGGCATCTCATTCTTGCAATTCATTGAAAGCCTCATTTTCCCAAACCCCAAATAGAGATCTAGAGGATTGCTCAACAGACTACTTCAGCTCCAGACCCTGTGCTGCTGCCACCAACAAGTGCTGTTACGTGGGGTCGCTAACAGGACATAAATTGGGAGGGAGAGTTAGGTGGGGAGAGTTGCAGAGTCCCTGCAGTCGTAAATGCAAGTGGCTGCCAAATACCAGATCATATAACTTCAGGCACAGGTTGTAAGTCCATTGTTTCAGCACCATTATAATTTCAAACATTCACTGAATGAATTGTCATAAATCAAGGACTACCTGTATTTCAGCTCTCTCTTATGTTTATAGTTATACTTTATTTTTTGCATTACATCTGTTTTTAATTTGTTTACTGCCCAGAGTGTTGAACTGTGGGGCATTATAAACCTAAAT